AAATTTTACAATCGGAACCACTGATCCATTAAATATTCAGTGATCTCTTTTTCAATCATGTGAAACTGATTTTTGAATTTATCACCAAAAATTTATTTAAATTATTAATGTAAAACGTCTTAAATTTTAAGATCACAAAAAATTTGTTATAAACTAACACACATTTGAATATAAATCCTTTTTTATTATGTTTAAATTAAATTTATATAGCAGACATTTGGATTATTAGTAGTTTTAAAATTATAAACTTTTAAATATAAAAACTTGATTATTCCATATATTAGAATTCATTTTGTTTAAATAAACTGTTTAGCTTCAATAAAATTCCTTTAACATATCACGTATATAAATTACATTATTTAATACATGATATTAAAAAATTATAAGAATTATTTAAATAACATACACTTCCCCTTTCCAAGAGAAGTTGGCACTTAGTGAGGCAGTCTGGAGAATCAGCAAAATTAACAAGAGCTTTTTCTGCTTCTGTTCGATCTGCAGCACTGGTGGCTTCATAGAGTTGCTTGCAAAGCAGCTCTAACTGCACCAGCCCCTAAAAATAATAATAATTTACAAAATTATAAAAGAATTTTTGTAATTTTAAAAGTGAAAAAATAAAATAAAAAGATTATTTAAATTTATTGGATTATAAATTATAAATTAAATTATTATTCTGTAATATTATAATTGATAATTGTTTACAATATCAACATTTTAGATTTTAAAATATCAGTATTTTAAAATCTATATTGCTATACCAATAACAATATATCGAATTGTTGATATATTGTTATTGGCACAACACTAATTGACAATTTTTGATATTATTCAAAATTTTTCAATTACCAATCACATACAACCATACATAGCAGCAAAAAGGTTTATTAACTCAAAAAATTAATGTATTTTACATTATTTAATGTAGCTTGATGAGCATTTTTGTTATTATTTTTTATTATTATGCTTTTGCTCATGTCATAACAATCCAGCAGATTGTAAACATTTTTTATTTTTTGATATTCAAATATTTACGTTCTATTTTTGGTTAGTATTTGTAAATGTTCAATTTTTGGATCATATAACCTACAATAAGACTCTAGCCAACATCTTCAGAGGAGACTAAATGGTCTGCTAAACTCAAGATAGCATATAAGAAAAGCCCTAGGGATTTTCAGTCATCAGGAATTCAAAGACTCAACTGAGAGTGGCTACTTACCAGGTATCTATACCAACTCCTTACAAGACCACAGAGTAAACCTTTTCTGCAAATACATTAGTGCTACAGCTAAATGCCTGTCTATGAAGATACATGAGTATAGTGCAAGAAGGGACTTTCAAACAAAGTGATGGCTACCTCTGCAAGAGAAGATGATGTTCAAGTTAAGTTTAATGGAGTGCATGCCTTTTACATCATTCTGCCAACCCACCCTGTCTCAAATACCTTGAACACAGAAATTTACAATACCTTTAAGAAATGTGTATCAATTATGAANAGTTTTTGGGATAACAACAATTCAGTAGTGACAAAGAGCTACAGACAATGTGCAAAGTTGGGTCCTTAAGTTGGTGGGAGACTTCTTTAACAAGGGTTTACAAGAAGTTCTGTCACTACAACAATTGCTTAAACCTCAAAGAAGAATGAATATGTTGAATAAAACATATTTTCCTATGACAACAATATCATAAAAGTATGTTTATGTTTCTTTCTAGTCAATTAAAACTTAATTTCCAAATGTACCACATATACTACGATTATTATGTTCTGGATTTTTTGGGGACAGTCCAAAAGAAAATTAACTCTTTGCCCTCAAAAGTGCCAATCGATTGGTACTCCCCATTGTTAAGCAAAACTTCGAGGGTACCAATTTGTCGTTACCCTAGTAAAAATCGATTTTTGTAAAATTTATTGACAACAGATGTCAGCACTTGACAGCAGTGTCTTGTCTATCATCTGTTTCACATATTTTTCTCCAGGTGGTGTTTTGTTAACTTAAAAAATTTTAGTGCTTTTTTTTTTTCTTAATTTATTTTTTCCTTATAATTTTTTATTTCATTTTTAGCATATTCGTGTAATAATATTACTATAGTAAGTCAATGTGTTATAAATATTCGAGTTGTGACCTTCAGTTCTGACATTTTATATATTTTTTATTGACAAGACTATGTCTTGTTTATAAAATCATACTGCTATTCAATATTATCAGCATAGAGATATGAAGAAGTACATGTTGAGAGTTGATATTTGGCACAGAGTATTAGGTGCCCAAATCATTTGCGCACAAAAAAATCTAGACTCGTAGGTAGTCAGGGGACTGAGAATCGAGTCAAAATAAAATCCAAAATGGCGACCCTCTTCTACAAACAGGCAAACCAGCCAAAAAGTCAGATAAGGGAGAATAAGGCAGTCATTCTAAGAAGTGAACTCTGACCTTAGGACTGAGGGTGCCTGCACCTGACCTTCGCCCTTTGACCTCACTTTGCTCCTAAACTCTAACAAGGAGAGAGATCTTTTTACTACCTTTCGAATCGACAGCCGTGCCAATCTTGAATTTATATTATATATCGATGCTGTTGTAAATATCACTCTACTGATACAAATTAAGTAAATTATCAGTTTTTTAGTAAATTTTTAATGACAGAACATTCACCAAAAATGGCTAGTGGACAACCTCATGGTCAAGGAAAGCGAAGTTTTACAAATTATCCAAGTTTAAATGTAAGTTCTGATATATATATATATTTTTTTTTTCTTATAAATTTTTCTAATAAAATGTATTGAAAAATATCGTATTTCAAACTAAAGATATTAATAAATGTACATAATTTTTTCATATGAATATAATGATAATTTGATTTTTGAATTTTTAAAATAATATCGCCTGACTGACCTATATTGCCTTCGGACAGTTTACAAAATTCACGTAAACAAGATGGTAGTGGTAAAGGATTCATATCACAGATTAATTATATCCCCAATTTTGTCCAAGTTTTAATTTTAAATTTCAGATTTATTTATTAGATAAACAATACAGAATCTGTTGAAAATCATATTTATATACTAAAAGGAATTGATTGAACAGGCTATCATTATGCAGGTATGATAATGTGTGAACATACTTTGTGACGTAGCTCTGGCTACAGTGAAATATTTTTAAAATATTAGAATATTCACAAAAAGAAATGGAAATAAGTTTTCTATTAAGAATATTGTATTTAGTGAGATTTTAAAAAAGTAACATGTAAAAATTATAAACTGATTTAAAATAAAAACCTGAATCTTAAATAAATAATATAAGAAATCTCAATCTCAAAATCAGAATAAAATGAAAAATCCGAGTTCAAAATTCAACATTCCCAATTTAAATCAAAAAAATTTTCTATAAAATTCATATTATTTAGTATAATCAACTGCACAATGTTCTATTATGTATCAAAGGATGAACTTTGACAGCTTGTAGTGCAGAAAGTATTTTATTATTTCAATATTTTGGATTTTTCTGATAATGTATTCAACATCTCCTTTCTACTGTATCATTTCATGTCAGTGAATGTATGAATGAGTTCATATGCCAATGTAGCTTCATACATACATACATAAATAATGAAATGTAAGTAAAATGGCTGTAAAATGTATATAATTTTAACAGATTTTTCAATCAAGATCACATTTTCATGTATATAATGTTATAATGACTGCATAAAATGCTGTTTTAGTTAGTGTTCCTTTTGTACTCCATAAACAGATCATCATATATAAAACTTACCCTGAATGCTTATCAGTTTATTACTGCATTGTGTAATTGTATTATTATTATTATACTCCTAAAATTTACATTCAAATAAAATGTAAATTTTACCTGAAGAAATCCTCTAACTTGGCTGACAACGTTCCTAAATACATATTCATCTTTGTCTGTTTCAAACCATCCTAGTTTTGTTATTCTAGAAAACAGTTGCACCAAAGCTTGAGTGACAAAATTTACCAATTTTGGCCTGGTTGCAAGATAATTTAGCACATAATTTCCTTTAAAAGTTGAAATTAATTAATTAAAAAATTAAATAAAATAATAACTTCATTTTAATCATTACATTTTTTTTATATTCTGTACTTACTAATATCAATCCTCTGTTGTAATGTCAAAGTACTAGGATTCCTTGATACTAATTTGGTTAAAGTTGTTGCTGCCAAAAGCTGAGCATAGGAAAACTACAGAAATAATTTATGCAATAACATCAATTGAACAATATAAAATAAAGACAAATTAAAAGCAATATAAATTTAATTCAATTTGTATGGTATATTTGCTGATATCTGTTACAGAATTTTGCTATATTTTAAGAAAGGTTTATAATATACAATATATACAAACAACACAATTCCTGAAAAGTTTCAAAAAAGTTAATTGATAGGTTATTTTTAGTTAGTAAAATATAAATAATAATTCATGTTTTTTTTTGTTTCTAAACATATTGACTATTACTTGTTAAACAAAATTAAAATAATTGTCATATAATGATTATATGTGTATCTCAAGTTTAAAAAAAAATAAATAATATACAATATTGATAATACAGTAATATGAATCCATAGTCATTCAAACAGGTATTACCATTCTCCTAACTAAAATAATGTCAACTGTACACTTGCAGTTCATGTGTAAAATAAACATAAGTCATGTGTTGTTAGTATTGCTGGTCATAGAAAGAATGAATGTTTGACTTAACAGCAATTCTAATCTCTATTTGCTACTGTAAAGTACATTACAACAGTAAAAAATGGTCTCAAAGAAAATATCCTTATTATCATACCCCCATTAATCTGAACTTTTCATTCAATACTGGTTTCAATTAGTTTCAGATTAGTGCAATTACTGTATTGTAATTATGAGACACTGGAATGAAAATTACTACTAGTTAACTGGTTGTATGTATAAACAAACACACTATCACACCAAAAATCAGCAAAAACCTCTAACAAATCTAATAAAAACATTTTCTTACAATTTCAAAATGGACATCTTCAGGTTATATATGGAATGAAGAATGGAACACTCATTTTAAAAAACAGAAAAAAAATGACTATTTTCAAAACATACTATAAAGTAAAACTTTCAGATCCTGGAACAATCTCACAATCCTTTTGCTTACAAGAAGCCCACTTTTAGATCTCTAATTAGAAGAGCTTTCACATATTGTTCTACACAAGATAGGGAAGAGTTATGTTACACTGCAGTGTTAGCCAATCAACATGGCTACTTCATGGTCCTAATTAGGGCATTTATACAACAACAACCAGACACCAGATACAGCATCACAATGGGGACTATATGGACATTACCTACAATAAGACTCTAGCCAACATCTTCAGAGGAGACTAAATGGTCTGCTAAACTCAAGATAGCATATAAGAGAAGCCCTAGGGTTTTTCAGTCATCAGGAATTCAAAGACTCAACTGAGAGTGGCTACTTACCAGGTATCTATACCAACTCCTTACAAGACCACAGAGTAAACCTTTTCTGCAAATACATTAGTGCTACAGCTAAATGCCTGTC